ACACCTGGGTACGGGCCTCCTAAATCCCTTGCTCCTTCAGCACACAAGTTCCAAGTGGTCCCTCTCATCCTCCCCATTCAGCCTGAGACCCAGTCCCCAGCCAGGGTCCACCTACCGATGTACTCAATGGCTTCCATGAACCAGGAGCTGATGTCGGCCTTGTGGTTGTCTTCCACCGGGATGCACTTGTACTGATAGTGTCCTTCAAAGTGGTTTGGGCAGTCGGAGGAGACATTCAACAGGGCTGTGATCCCCAGGGCATCCAGCATGTCTCTCCGGGCAGCATGATAGGCACTGCCGAGGTAGAGAAAAGGGAGGATCTCCACAGGACCGCCCTGCACAAGCGAGGGAAAACAAAGGCCCCCAACATCGTGAGCGTAAGGCAGCCGGCAAAAGAGCTGGGGTGCTTAGGACCCAGAGAGGTGGTTTTCACAGGCCCTGGGGGGAATGCCTGTGGACACAGCCCTTCCAGGTTTCCCCTTATCCCGCTGGGGCTCCTGGAGGGAGCAGTGTCTTCGATGGGCGTTCTCTAGCCTTTATCCCCCACTCTGCTGTGGACAGAGAAGCCAGGACAGGTGAAGTCTTGTTCAAGCAGCCCACGTCCCCTGTGATAAATGGAGTTGCAGACACAATGCTGATTTGCAGCACCCGTTGGTAACATTAAAAATTTACACCTGCTAATCAATCACCAAGCTACCTGTTGTGTGGTTTAGGGGCTTACTTGGCCAGATTATGTCTTTACTTGGTACATCAAAAACAGATGCCACGGCAGCCTCACAAAGAGGAGAGATTTTGGCAAAATTAAGTAACCTTGGCTTAAAGTAATGATGATTTTCTGAGTCAACTAGAATGATCTGGGATTTAGGAAGCAGAGTGGCTGGAGCCCATAAATGCACCCCCTTCATCTAAACAAAAGGGCTGGAAGGGGTGGGCTTGCAAGAAATGTAGCAGCTTAAGCTGGTTTTCTTGGGGGAGCGTTGGCTGATCATTTTTGTCTATTTGGCATTTATAACTGGCTCTAAATGAGGACAACCTGGCTGTTCGGCTGGGGCTGGGGTCCACAGGCCACTCTTTCAAAGGGTGTTCTCTCAGTTTCCCAAAGGGCAGGCCACACACTTCCGGCCTCAGCAGGCCTCGTTCGTCTGCACATAACTCTAGAGGCTAAGCAGGGAGTTTTGCTTTTATATATATTTTTTTCCTAAGTGGGGTAAGAAGAGAAGGAAAGGGAAGGGTTCCAAGGAATAAAAAGAATTTACTCCTAACCTTCCTTATATCCCATGCCAATCAGGGTTCACTACATTGACCCTAAATTGAAGCACTGCAACTACAGCCTCTGAAAAGCAGACTCTGAAAAAACCCTCCGCACACACCTGGTCGTGTAGTGGGGTTCCACAGGAACTGCAGCCCAGGTCCAAGGACTCCACCGTGCTCGGGGGCACAGCGGGCGAGATAGCAGCCAGGGCCTTGGTTTTGGAACAGAATTCTGGGTACTCGGAGGAAAACCTCTCATAGCCACCTGTAAAGTGGAGAGAAGTTCCGGTTAATGGGTTCACTGAGCCAGCTGAAACCCCCCAAAGAACTCAAATCCTACCCCGGACGAAGGAACTGTTAGGAAGCTGGGGCTAGTTGAATCTACACTTGCCACTGGGTGGCGCTGTGGGCCCAGAGATAATGACTATGGAGCCTTTTCCAGCGACGCAGGGTCCACATTGGGCCAAGACTGCATCCTAAGCCTGGAAGGAAAGCATTATAGACAAGCGTTTGGTTTCGGACGCAGATACACAGAGGAAGATGTACAGGGGCTATGGAGAAGAGGCTATTTCCAGAGGAGTACCTTAGGGTGATCATAAAACATGTAAGAGGTAATAGACACTGTAGGTCTCCATGAGTACTAAGGCAGCCTGCAGCTGGGCTGTGTGACTTGCAAAGATGTCCGTCATCCCACTTCAGACCTTCCTTTGGAGAGGTTCTCCAGTGTAGGAAGAAAGAAAAATTACCCTGGCACTAGCCCTTCTGGACCTCAGCAACAGAACAGATGCTGATGGCACAGCCTCGTGAACAGCTGTTCCGTCAACAAGGGGCCAAAACGAAAGTAAACGGGCTTAAATCTAAATAAATCCCTCTTGCTACACACACAGGTTTGGGGCAAGGGAGGATTTCCTGACCTGAGAGTTGCTAAGCCTTGGAGTGGTTATTTGTGGAATCGTCTTCCGGGGAAGGGAGGTCTTTTAAGTAAAAAAGAGATCAAGTTTTCTGGAAAAGTGTTAGTGCCAAGCAGAAAGGCTCTGGCTGAGCAGAGGCGGGCAGGGGAACCAGGAAGAGAAATGCTCAGCCTGTATCTCTGATTTTCTTGTGATCTCTGGGACTTTGCTCTGTGGGTAACTTAGCATCTACTGACAATGTTTGGCCCTGCTGTACTTTTACTTTGAGTTTCTATAGGAACAACGATAGATTATAAATTAATTTGGTAGGTGAAAGGGGTCAAAATTTCCAGTTAAAAGCTAAAGAAGTCCTGGGGACATGATGCACAGCATGGTGACTGTAGTTAATAATACCGTATTGCATATTTGAAAGTTCCTTAAAAGAGTAGATCTTAAAAGTTTCATCACAAGGAAAAAATTTTTTTACCATTTACAGTGATAGATGTTAACTAGACTAGACTTATTGTATTTGATCATTATGCAACACATACAAGTATTAAATCATTGTTGTATACCTGAAACGAACATAATGTTATATGTCAATTATACCTTTTTTTAAAAAACCAGAAATTTACTTAAAAATTATTAATTCATTCATGCATTCAGTGGGGCCCGTGTGTTGCTGAACAGTCATTCTAACGGACCCGTTCAAGACGGTCACGACAGCCACACCAAAATTTTTATGAGTAAGCAATATGGTGTCGCTTCCCTGTCAGAAGGATCTTCCAACATGCAGACGCACGGTGGTCAGTCACTTTCTTGCCAGAATCCTAACCCCAGAGATTGCTTTGGAGGAAGAGAAATGATTCTTTACTACATCATAAGGCTTACAGAAACATGGCATACATACATTTCTTCCTCTCTGACTGGAGGCTTCTCAGTTCCTCTCCACACCGCCCGCCCCCATCAGGATATAAATGGATGTCTCTGGTCACAGGCCCTCACTCCTGCTGAGTCATAATGACCAGCCTCCCTGGTTGGAAAACCTGCTGAGGTCCCCATCGTGCCTATTCCAGACGTGCTGGTGTCATCTCATCACAGGAGCACACCTCCCTCCCTCCCATGATCAACCCCATCTGTCCCCTTTCCTTTTAAAGCTGCAGACTTTGCTGCCCCAAATTCAGGAAACAGAGTGGAGGGAAGAAGAGCCAGCAAATATCTTTAGCTGAAGTCCTCTGGGATGAGAAGCTTTGTCAATGGTCCCCCTTTGGAGCAGGTAGGAGAGGAAATGGATCAATCAACAAACCACTTGAACACCTATATGAAAAGCCATTATGTTACTCTGTATACTTCTATAGGATTTGAAATTTTCAAAATAAATGATCCTTGTGTTTATTACATAACTCGACCTATTAAAACATTTCTTTTTTTTTCCCAAAGAAATGTAAGGCATGGGTGATGCCCTCCAAAAGCTCATCACCTAGACAAGTACCCACCCGAAAGTGAATGGCGGAGTCACAGGAGTGCCAAGGCCAGGCTCCAAGGTCACAGAGGAGGAGCATCCATGAGGGCAACAGAAGGGGGAGGAGCCTCAGCATGGTGGTGAGAATGTTCTTCCCATTGCTGAGAATGTACAAAACAGCTGTACAGAATGTACAAACCGGACTGAAGTCCTGGAAAGGGCACACACACACACAGCCTTTGCAGTCAGACTCACAGGTCTGGGTTGAGTCACTGGCTGTGGCACCTGGGGCCGTCACTAAACCTCTCCCAGCCTCTTCTTTAACCATAAAATGTCTGAAACATCCACTCCTGGAGTCCTTTGAGGGCTGACTGGAACAGCCAGTGCTTGGCACCTGGCCTCGGGAGACACATATAATGAAGGTTTCCTTTTGGGCACCTAACAAGGGGACTCCAGCATTACTGGCAACTTTCCAGACTGCCTTCTCATCCTGGGCTTCACTGATTTATTCCAGTTGGAGTCTTGAGACCTGGTAGTTAAGGCGGCGAAGGAGCAGGTACCATATTTCCTGAGCTCCGCGACGGCTTCCTAGTCAGGGACATCCGCCACCTCCCGGGTTCCGTCATCAGTCAACCAGGAGACAACAGCAGAACCCAGCAGAACCGCGCCAGCGGCAGACCCCAGGGGTTGGGGGGGCGGGGACAGGTGGCCTAGTGTGCAGGACGGAGGTGACCCAGAGGCCAGACCAAGTCCAAGGCGGGGCCATTCAGCGGCTCCCCGAAGGCTGCTCATCACAGAGCAGAGACAGTAGTGGCTGGGAAAACACCATTAGAACGGAACAGAGACATGACTATTGAAAAGTCAGTTCCCTCTGGTGGATCTTTAAAGAATAATCAGAAAAGAACTAAGTGAAAAAGCAGATCAGCTCTAGGGACAGGAGCACTGGAAGGGGCGTATCCGTGATGGTGGCAGCAGTGAAAGGGGCTTTTCCTCCTGAGCTGTCACTCTTGGGAGACTGTGGCTGATTGTTACAAGGAACATCACAAAATAAGTGCCTTCTGGGGGGCCAATGGTTGCACCGAGGCCCGGATCCCCGAGAAGCAGAACACACCTGAGCGGCCCAGAGATGCAGGTGGGTGGTACACATGGAAAGGTGCAAGTTAGGAACCACCCGAGTCACACCCCACGAGGCACACCACAGGAGGTTGGCTGTGGGTATCAGATCTATGTTAATAAAAGTGGTAGATACCCTTAAGAGGAAATGTTCACTATATGCCAGGCTCTTTCCATATATGTGTCCAAACAGCAGCCCTTGAGGAAGGCATGAACAGCCACAATTTCACAGGAGAGCAAACAGATGCAGGGCAGCCCCCAGGTGAGGGCACGGCAAGCATTCAGCACACTGGCCTTGAAGGTGACTTTGTCTGTCAGGAACCTGCCCTGTCACTTGCCCATATCTGCCTTCCTGGTGGTCCTTCTCTAAGAGGGCATGGCCTGCTGGTTTCAGCATAGAATTTTCATGCAAAATCCTCTGAACAGGGGTGCTGCTAACATTTCACCAAACTCTGTCTCTTGCCAGTGCTTTTCTAACTACAGGTCGTCACTAAGGGGCTGTGACCAGCATTTTTATTTAATGAACTAAAATAACTACTAGAATGCATTGTGTTTAAAGAGGGTATCGTTTCATGGAACTCTGATTTCAGGTGTGTCTGTATCCCTGTCTGGATCATGATGGAAATTAAAGTGAATGCTTACTGTAGGTGGGGGTCGAATCTGTGCAAACACCAGAGCCACGGCACTTCTAGTAAGAGCTAGATTTAGTTCACCCAGTTTTAGTCAAACCTCAGGAGAGGGAAAGCTTATTCCAACGGGATAACAGCGGGCTGGCCTCGATCTTGTGCCTCCCGTAGGTGGGCAAGGAGAACAAGAGCACAGGTCGTGGGTGCCAATGGGAGCTTGAGCAAGCACATTGTCCCTAACCTGTTTTCCCACACTCAAAATGGAAGAATTTCATATTATATATCTCTAAATTCCAACATTCCATGACCCTAAATGTCTACAATCTATTTGCAAACTACAAACAGAGCAGGTGCCCAAGATCTATCTCCTGAATACAATTTCATGACAGATGCCAATTAATTCCACCTGTTTTGTCTACATCTTATTAAAAGTCATCCAGTAACAGATATTCTAATTTTGACCTGTTTTTCCCATGTTCTTGTTTAATAACATGCTTTCGGGTCTTAAAGCTCTCACTTTCTCATCTTAATTTTAAAACTTTAGAGCTTAGGGGGTGGGAAAGGAATATAATTTTTCACCTGACTTTCTTGAGGAATAACTACATCTCCAGTTCAACTCCATGCTTTTTTCTGTTTTTTACACACATGTACACAGCAAGGTGCTTTTCAGAATTTACTGAAAATGATGACCCACTGGCCATACATCCTGCTGCTGGCCTCCCGCCCACGCAGGCCTAGGAGAGCGTGTGTATGGAAGTTTTGCAAAGGGCAGACTGACGCAGTGCTGGGCCTATCAACATAATAGGACCAGTAGTGGGGTCTGTGATGGGGAAACTTGTCCTTTGGTGGTGATAGAGTCATCAATCTTAATGTGGCTACTGCTTTTTTCCCATAACACTCAGAATATCACCCATTCACCAAGGGCTCATGGCCTTGCTCTCCCAGGACATCTTCTCAATGTAAGGCAAATGTTGCCTGGCAAGAAAGTCTGGGGTCATTTGAAGGTCATTTGGCTTTGAGAACTGATGAGCACTCATGTAAATGCTGAGCAGTTATTTAAAATGTACTTAAGTGGGCTTCTCACCTTGAGACTCCAAGCACAAACCTATCCATCCTGGGCCAACTGGCTGACACCTAATGCCACAGCTCAGGCTGGATCTTGTTTGCAGCCCCTCCCAGTCCTTTGGTGCTATCTGCTACGTTCAGCAAGCTGGCTTCCAGCAAGCTGGCTTCCGTTCCAAAGTGAACTTTTCTTCCTGTGAAACTTCCTCTTTGTTAGGCGGGTACTGCCTCCCATTAAGGAAATAGGCTATCTGGTTTCAGATGTTCTGATTTTCTTAGAGAAATTTCTTGGCTCCTTAAAAACGCCACCCTTTCTCCCTCCCTGGGTCTCTTTGTAGCTTATCTTGGTGGGTGCAAGTCACCTCTCCTATAAGCACTGAGGACAAGCCCAAGGGAGCTGTGGGCTGATCAAGGATCAGGTTTTCACTCTTGATTTACACTGACACCTTGTCTTTACTGACTTTCGTGAGTTGGAAGCATCCAATTAAAATGATGCAAAAAGGAGTGAGTTGGCCTCATTCCTTATAACTCTGTAAGAACTTACAATAGGGGTTAGAAATCATCTTTAAGGCATACCATTTTTTTGTGATTCTAACAATCCTTGGCTGTCATGGGCATTGTGTCATATCTGAAAAGAGAAAAGCCAGTCCCAAAGAGGTGTGCGACCTCAGCATCCCTCCAGGGCTATGCTGTTTGATGCCACTAATCTCCTGGAGAACTAGGATGGGCTGGACAAATGTGGGTAGAGAGAGACTAGACAGAAGACAGTTATCAGAGTTGCCAGGGCTGCTAGTTGAGCCCCATCACCCCCACCCATACCGTTCATTATGGGTCTTAGAGGCTGTTTTCTACAGAAAGTGTGATGTCGGTCTGTGTGAGGACGATAGCCCTCTCAACTTCTCGAAATGGTTTTCAGGACAACTTTTCGATCAGAACTTGAATAACAACTGGCAGTGGTCATGTGCTGAGATGAATTTTCGATAGGAGGAAAGCAAGATAATGTTTTTATAACTGAAATTTTCTACATAACAGACTGATTGGTCATTCCGGGTACATGGGAGGTAAAGAATGACTTCCATTATGGTAAGAAAATGTCCTTTTTGTCTTTCTCTAAAACCCTAATCCGAGGCTATGAAGGAGAAAGGGAATGCAAGCAAAGGAGATATGTACTTGAATAAAATCTGAAAAAAATGTAAACTTCCTCCAAAATCGCCTTACAGGATTTTAAATAAAATAAGCTTTAAAAAAAAAGTTTACCCCAATGGGACTCTCACTAGTAAAAAGACTAGAAAATGTATTAATATGGGTTATTTCTTTTAGCAAAACTTGGCTAATATTAGGAAATGTAAAAGCTAAGCAGCATTTTGTTGATATTAAGTTTACTCTTAACTATGAATTCTTGTCTGTGGTATTAGTTATTAATTACTTACAGTAAGTAACCAACTGCCCTTCAAAATGACAGAAATAGAAAAATCAAATTTTTTAATGCAATTAATTGGTAGAATTAGCCTTTGGCCAGTAAGGATAATGTAACTTCTGAAAATATCCTGCTGTTTTTATTGTGCCCCCAGCACAACTTGGTCACTGGCTTAATGTCTGACCACTTGTACTCCATGCCCACCACCCCACAAGAAATAAGACACACAGTAAGGGCCATTAGCTGCAAAATAAAACGAACAGCTACTGTGAGAAACAAATTACCCAACTCCTAATCAGTTCAGGCCCTTACTAAAGATAATGTAAGGGTCTTGTCTTTCGGTGTTTTCCAGTGCTTCCCGTTAGTTCCCTGTCCCCTTCCATGAACACGCATTGCCTCCATTCCACTGGCTTCTCCAGGATGTAGGAGGCATTGGTTTCCTCCGGCCACCTGCACCTTCCCGCATCAGTGTGGGAGCGGACACTGCCCAATTTCTTTCTGTCCTCACAAGGGATGCCTTTTCGATTAGAAGGCAAAGAGAAGAGAGAGGAACTGTGTTGACTACTTCTGCTTCGCACATATATGAAAATAAGCTCAGTTAAACAGACTATGACCCAGTTAACCTCAAAGATGCTCTACCAGCGCTTCAGAACAAGCTGGAAGGACCCCATCACCTCTGTGAATTTCTGGCGGCTGCTTCCAAGGGCGGGCTCCCTTCCCTTATGAAGACCCAGCTGACCCTCTCCTGGCTACTCCAGAGCCTGATCTTGAAATGACAAATTCAACCTGAGGCCCAAGCCCAGACACTCTCCATCTCAGAGGATGTTGATTTTGAGATGCATATAGAGCCATCCTTCCTACCCAGACCAGGTCTGACAACAGGAGGTAGTGCAGGCCTCAGGTGGCAACAAGCCCTTGGAACACTGCTTTTCCGTTGGCCAGGCACCTCGCCAACCGTAAGGATACTGACATTTTACCCAGAGGCTCCAGTCCTACCCAGTCTCTACATTAGCATTTGCCTCGTGCTGAGCGGCTGGCCCGCTGGGATGCTCTGGCTCCAGCCTCTTCGGATGGGATTCTGGGGCACCAGGGAGGTGCCGCAAGCCGTTCCTCCCCGGGAGCAGGGCCTAAGTGCGCGCCTGGAAGCCCAAGGGCCAAAGTCCCCGAGCTGCCGCTCTAGGGCGGTCCCCTCGAGATTTCTTCCGGGAAGAAAAAACAAAACGAACCCAGACTCCATGTGGATTTGCCCTCCCTCGAGAAGGGTCCTGGGTTCAGAGACCCGCGGAGAAAGTCGCGCGCTGAGGCTTTAAAATCAGGAAGGACCCCAGGGCAGCGCGGCAGGGAGAACGTGCCCCTGAAAAGGGCTTTCTTCCTCAAGCAATTTCTCCGACCGTTCCCACCAGCTCCAGGCAAGGGAGGGCAGGCGTGCTCAACGGCCTAGACCCCACGGTGGCGGTCTAACCCAGACCTGGACGCGGGAGCACGCGGGACGTGCGCCTGCCGCGGGGATCGCAGGGATCCCGAGCACAGCTCCGCGCCCGGGGAAGGCTAGGCCGGTCCTTCCCGTGCAAGCCCCTCGGCACTTGCTCTTAATGCGTTTTTAGGAGAAGGGAAGAGCACTGAGTTCCATCGGAGGTGCAAAAAGCAGTCTCACGGAGAAAGAAAATTCAGCAAAATTGATTTAGTAGTTCAACCATAGGTCAACAGCAGCATTTCCCCAGCAGCTGACAGGTCAAATGGCCAGGAAACAACTGCCGAGAACAAAGCCGTCCGCTATTCAGCAGGGCAAGCCCGGCTCACACTAGCCGTTCTGTCGAGCTTTTTGGGAAGAGGCGGTGGGGAGAGGTTTCCGCCCCTCCTCTCCTCACCACCACCCTTCCTCCGGGGTGAGCAGGTCCGGAGAGGAAAAGAAAGGAGGGAGGGGGCGAGGGTTGCCGGCAGGGAACCCAGCTGCTCTTTGAAGGCCGGAGTCTGAAACGCCTCTCGGCTTCCGAGGCCAGGACCGGACCGGGAAGAAAGAATGCGCGGAATGCAGTGGCGGGCGGCAGGGGCGCAGCGCGGCCAAGGGCGCCGGGACCCCACACTCTTGCGGCTTCCCCAGCTCACCGGTTGCCGAGGACCGCGGCCCGGCCCGGCCCGCAGGTGCGGCTGTAGCACCGTCCTTCCAGATACTGCGACAGCACTCGGTCTTTTCTCGGTTTCTGACTTATAGGTTTGACAAGACCTCACCTCCCCGAAGAGTCTCGCCAGGGTTCTCTTAAATCAAGCACGCGCCGCCCTCTGTTCGTCGAGAATCGTATCTGAACAAAGGTCGTACTTCTCTGGCGCCTGATTTTAGGAGACACCATCCTGCCCTGCGTTCCCCAAATACACCTCCTGCCTCCGGCGCCTGAAGCCTGAGTCTAGCCCGGGGCAGGAGGAGCTGGCCACCTTCCGGGCGGAGCTTGGAGTTGGGCAGCAAAAGACGAGATACAGATCGCTCCACACAAAGTCCGCACCCCTATCTTCCTTGTGCATTTCCGAGGGGCTGGTTTCTAATCGAATCGGCGCTCACTCGCCCCTTCACCCGTTTCCCCACCTCTCGGGTTCTCGGGGTTGGACTCAATGCAGGGCCCCAGCGGGCCAACCCAACAAGCCTGACCTGTCCCCACCCGCACTTGGGAGCACTTTCCTCGAATGGAAAGTGGTTAACGCTAAAAGGGCGCTTAGCCCGCAAGGCCAGACGGTTAGTGAGTGTAAACAAATGCAAAAGAGCCAGGAGGGTAATTGCAGATGACGGAGGAAACGCGCGCCCTCGCTGCCCTGAAGACTTCAGGAGCTCGCACTTGCATACAAACGCACAAATCCTTGCAAACCTGTGCACAACAACACGCAAAGGAATGCGCGGGGATCCCCGTCGCCACGAGTCCAGTCCCTCCGGGCACTTCTTCCCCGGCCCACTAAGGAGAAGGCCGCCAAGCCTCGCTACACCTCCCCCTCCAGGTCGCGCCCGGGAGTCCGCAGTTACCTTTCAGCAAGCAAATATCCGTGCGCTCCGCGTTGCGGCGCAGCGCCTGCACTACCAGCGACACGGTGCTGTCCTCGCGGAGGCTCTCGGCGCGCGGGCTGCGCTCGTCGTAAACGATGACGGCCGAGTAGAGGCCGGAGCGCAGGCGGGTGCGCACCTCCTCCTCGGCGGGCAGGATCTGCTCCAGGCTCACGGAGCCCTTGGCCCGCCGCCGCACGATTGTGTTGCAGCGCACGTTGACGGAGCCTCGGATGTAGCCCGCGCTGTGCGCCAGGAACGGTCTGCAGTCCAGCAGCAGACACTTGCCGCCGCTCAGCAGCCCCAAGGCGCCGTGGCTGCCGCTGCTGCCCGTGCCGCCGGTGTTCTCGTCCCGATTCATCAGTCTTTTGAGCACGCTGCAGTCCATCTCCCGCAGCTCCTCCACTGTCACCATGGTCGCCGGGAACCGCGGCTGCTGGGCGCGAGAGGAGGAGAAGGAAAGCCGGGCCAGCTGGGCTGCAGCAAGGGGCGGGCGAGGGCTAAGGAAAGGGCACGTGCAGAAGTGACCGCAAACTTGGCCCCCAGGGGCTCTCACCGGAGACCCTCTTCTACCCAGTTTCCTTCCTCCCGCAGTCTCACGGTCACATAGCAGTCCGAGTGGCCTCCGGCGCCAGGCAGTATTGCGCGCGATGCGAGGGGGAGACGGAGGTGGAGGGGACTGTGTTTACGGGAGAGGGCCAAGGACTCCCTTCTGTTGTGGCCTCTCGGTATTTGGCCCGTAGTGCTGCTCCTGCCGGCGCCGGCGCTGCCACTCGACATCCGTTTCCCCACGAGCAGCCGGAGCTCGGCGCAATGCCCCAGCCGGAGTTTCCTCCTCGGCTTAGAGATTTATTAATGCTCCTCTGCGCTCCCCCGGGAGGGGGCAGATTCAGTACTACCTCGTGAGGCCCCGCCTCTTTCCATTCGGGGCCTCGCGCCTCCCTCCCCCAGCGCCTGCTCCCCGCCCCATCCCCTCTCCCTCCGCCCCTCGGGCCCCTCCTCCCGCCCCCTTCCCGGCGCGTGAATGGAGTGCCGGCAGCTCGCGCCGGGTCACGGGGACAGGACGTCACAAAGAGCGGAGTAAAAAGGGAGCAGGGCGCTCGCCGCCAGGCCCATTCATAAAACCGGTGCCTAGAGGAAGAGGGAGGCGGCCTCCGACCCGCAGGCGAGCTGCGCGTCCGGACTTTGTGAATGGAGCGCGGCGGCGCGTCTCGCCGTCAGCCTGCCGGCCCCGGCCTCCGGCGCGCAGTTACGACCCGGCCTGAGTCGCTGTGCGGCCCCTCGAGCCCGCTGCGGCGTTCGGCGGAAAGAAATTAGCCGACCGGTAAACCGACCTGACGGAGGCCGAGGCTCGGTTTTGAGGTTTCATCCTTTTTTGCCTCCGTGCTGCACCCTGAACAGCCTCGCAGGCCTCTCCCCGGCACCGAAGCGGAAAGGGGACCTTGGCCCGCTGCCGGGACCGCAGATCCTGGCCAGTGGTTTTCTCAAATGCGATTCCTCTGACATTCGCTTATATATTAGCGTGATCAGTTTTCATCGTAAGCTATTAAATCAGCTTTATAGCTTCCCGAGGACGTGGGCAAGCCCCAATTGATAAAATGAAAGAGAAAGCCCTCCCGCCCCGAAGCGAGGTGTTGGTTCTGTTGCTTTACGACCCAGAGGGAGGCATTCTTTGCCGGAACGTTTTTCCTCTGGCGAGAGGCAGGGGTGCCACTCCCGTCCACGCTTCCTAAAGATGTTTGTTTAACTCGGGGGGCGGGAGGGGGGGCGTGTAGGGCAAAAACCCCGAAGTTTTCGGCTTTTTGTAAAGTCCCCGCCCCGTCTCGCGTACGTGTGAATTGTCTTCTCGGGAAAGGATAGTAAGGGTCCACATTTGGTGTGAAGCTAAACCCTAAGAAATTCACGTGTAAATGATTTAATAAACTCCGGGGCCGACTCAGGTTCTCTGCATCCCTCTTTTCAGGTCCCGTATAGCACTTTTCCCCGCCCCAGTTTTACTTATGCATTTACTTTCCCGGAGGCCGCTTTTGGCCGGGGGTTTGTGAGCGCTGCAGTGGGGACATGACAGAAGCCACAAATTATTCGCCCGACATCTCGCCAAGTCTTGTTAGAATTACCCACCGCACGTGGGTATTGCAGGACTCGCTCGCGGCCTGGGTGGCAGCGGGGTCGAGTCTCCCACTCCAGATCCGCATGGAAACCGGGACCCAGGCATCCATGGTCGCGGAATCCGCGGGGTCTCTCCCGGCCCCAGCTCTGCCTTCCGCTCCGCCTTTGTTCTCCTGAGCTCTCACCTCCCGCCCCCAGGGCCACCATTTCTCTCCCCTACCGGGCCCGCAGGGGGCCTCCACTTCCGAGGCCTGGGACACCCCGACACCCCGGCGCAGGGGGTCTTGCTTTTACCTTGGGCTACAAATTGGCTCAGTATGGCACTGCACTGATCCTGTCTCTATTTGGAATTTAATATTTTGTTCGTCCTAATTCTTTTTGCATTAATTTTATTTGCTTTAAGAAGCATGGCATTAAGCTATTATTTTGACCACTGACTCTTTGGTGCCCCTTAAATTTTGCGCCCGAGGCGCATTGCTCACTCCAGTTCCAGCCCTGTAAGGGGCCACAACTGTGTATCCACGGAGGCCTCTGGGTAGCGGGACCTCGGGCGCCGGGCACTCTGGGTGGAAGCCAGCAGTCAAAAGTTCATTGCTTGGCCTTTCCGGTGAGGAGGGGTTTTGTACTTCCTCTCAAGGACAAAAGGGACCTCTCTATCCGGTTTCTCACAGGCTGAGGTGGCAGTGAGGCTCTGTCTAAATCCTCGCTCGCTCTCCCTGGCACACCCGGAGCACGCCCTTTCCAACGAGTCCCCCATGCGCCGACCTTCGCGGGTTCATCCGCTTTCCCGGGCAGCCCGGGAATCTGGCCCCTGCCAGGCCCTTGGGCCCGGGCCTCTCCCAGCCCACGTACACGCCGACGCCTTCACAAGGGCATGGACGGGACATCTCTTGGAAGAGTCTCTCAGTCGGAAGTAGGTCCTGGCCAATCTCGCGTATGTCGCAGGAGCTGAAGAGACGTCCCTGGGCCGCTCTGGCAGACTTTGTCTCCCCTACGCTGGGGTCGTCTTTCCGCAAGCGGACCCCACACCCAGCACTGACGTAGCCCATAAATAAATCACATCCGCAGGGAGGAAAATGCCCACGGAAGAAAGACTTGCTTTCTGCACCTGACAGTAATCCGTAGCGGCGAAGCCTGTAAATCCCACAGGCGATGCACACGCAAGGGGATGTGGGCGGACGCGTGTGAGTGATTGTGTGTCCACGTGTGCGTGCCTGCGCCTGCGCGTCGCATCCTGGGGGGAGCCGCAGCTTCGGACTGAATGGATTTAAGCCAAGAGCCGCTTTAATTACGATCGCGAATGCCTGATTTTTGAAAGAGACTGATTAAAAAAAAATCCTCTCCTCAATTCAGGAATTTGCTTTCAGTCGTGGGCATTTCAGCAAATGAGATTTAAATTTTGTCTTTGTCAGGATCCTATGTAAGCACCCTGTATAGTTTTTTAAATGTTTAATTTTTGACATTGTAAGTCTGTGAGCCTTTTGGTACACAGTTAAATGAATACAATGTGCGGGCTACCGACTATAGAGAAGATAAAATTTGTCTCCAATTAGTATGCAGGGTCGGGTTGGGACGCTTAATCACTTTACACAGGAACTTGTGAAACAGCTTGTCAATAAGCAGATCTTGGAGAAAACAAAGGCATTTGGAAGGAAGACTTTGTTTGAATGTCATTTCAAAGTTAATTTAATTAACGAAGGCAGATCTGCAGGAGTTGGAATGGAATTGCCCAAGGAGAGATATTTTATTTATATTCAGCAGTAAACCTCAGGGTGAAAATACTTTAAAAATTCACTGTGACATGTAAAATCCAACTTCTCTTTCATCAAGCAGTCCTTAGACCGACCTTATTAGTCACTGTCATGCCTGACAAAACCTATGTTCTTGTTTAAGAACATTTTTTTCCAATTAGGAAGTTGTGTGATCTGGGAATTTAAAGCCCAGAGTAGGATCCCTAGAGAGGGCTATGGCTTCTATTCTGGTTTTGATGCCAACCTCTGACTCACTGCCCTGTCTCAAAGTGCCTGAATAAAACTTGCCTGAAAAAAAATCATTAATGAATTCATCAAGGTGGCAACAGAAAGGAAGATCTCGC